AAGAGACATTTCAAACAGCTTTCCAGTGATCACAAGTGTTGGAGAAAATCTGGAAGCAAAAACTTTCGACTCTGGGTGAACCCCAGCCTGCGCCCAGCACAGCAGAACCATCAGGATTTTAGCTTTGCTCAGCAGCAAGCCCAGAACCTTTATGAAAGAAAATCCTAGCAGCTGCCTCTTGCTTCAACAAGCATTTTTTAAACTGAACTCCTGCTCCAAACTACCTTTTAGAGATGTCTCTCTCTGTGTTGACTACAGCAAGAGTGAAGGTGACTCAGGCGCTCGTCGTTAGGTCCCTAAAACAAGGCGCCATAACTACATTTGGTCCCTCTCTACCTCAGATTTTTCCCTTCAGAAATACAGCAACCTCATTACAGCCATCTTTAGGCTAGCTAACTACACCAACAGCGCGTGAGCCACTGCTTCATTAGTGGGCACATGTGCAAAGTTGTCTTTGTCAGTGTGGTGCTGTATCCTCCATGGGATTCCTGGACTTTAAGGATCAACTCTGTCAGAAGCAATAGCTGCTGGAGTTGAATTCTGAGGACAGAAATATGACAGCCAGCTTGACGCCTTGCTAATACAATTTTCTGGTCTTCATCCTTCCCTTTCTCTACCAGAAGAACCAAGTCAGTGACAGCCTTTTCACTTGAAAGGAGCCTGGGCAGGCTGGCTTTACTTCCAGGAGGCAGGAAGAAGAGAGAAGGAGTGTGGAAAGCAGTACCCTTTTATGGCCAGAATTCTTACCCATGGGGTCAGACGAGTCCGTGATAATCACATCAAAGGCTTCTTGATTTTGTTTCATGAACTCAAAACCATCTCCCACATGCAAGGTCAGCTTAGCGCTGGAATACCCCACTGCCATCCCTGGGAGGTACTTCTTAGATACTTGGATCACATCCTGCAACAGAGAGAGCACAAGTGGGTCAGCAGGGGCTACAATGAGCTGCTTCTCAGGCTACCGTGCGGCTGCTGCTGAAAGAACAGCAGAATGAGTAATCTCCTTCCACGCCTTCAGCACAAATCTGACTCGCTAGCTAGACCCTCAAGAGCTGTCAGCATCCTCAGCCAACAAGCTGCACTCAGCCCTCTCCTATGGCCTCAGGGTTCAGTGGCACTGTTGGTCTGTCCTTGCCAAACTCAACAAGAAGAACTCGGAGCTTCAAAAGCTCCCCAAGGAACTAAGAGAGTATGATTACAGATCTAACTGCTTTGTGCTCCTTTTCCCTGCTGACATCGCTTGCAGAGGTGAACTCAACTAAAGCCTTTTTTTTTCCCTTTCCTAAATAAAACCATGCCAGCAGGTTTCTGTATGCAAGATGAGCTATAGCCCCACCTCTACTCTATAGTCATTATATCAACTCCCACATAAGACAGAGTTTTCTCTCTAAAACAGCCACTGCCCTAGGCCCAGCGATTGTACTGAACACTACCAGCTTCTCACAGCTGGAGACACAAAAAAATATGCTGGTGTCAGGCAGTGCTTGTTCAAAACCAGGCACATGTGCCTAGTTAGCTTGGCAGACAGAGTACACAGTCTCACAGAGCACCGCTTCCCATTCCTAATACAGCCTCGCTTTGAGGGGACAGCAAAACTTCCTAAGAAAGTAAAATACCACAACAAACAGACCGAGAAGAGGAGGACCAGCCCATCTCTCACGGAAACAAACACCCCCCCGCTTATTTCCTGCTTTCAGACGCAGGAGATTTCTTAACAAAGTGACTACCGTCCTCTGGCAGGAGCTGCACCATTCTGCGTCGCGGGAAGAGGGAAAAGCAGCACCTTCACAAAGCCAGAGCTGTCCTCCTCCAGATCCCACGCTTGGCCCACGCTGGCCTGGAAGGGCCTCTGCCGTAAGTGTGCGTGAGAGAAATCGCAGGCGAGAGGCAGCCAGCTGCCACGTAGATGACTCGGAAGGCAAAGAGGTGGCGCTGTCAGTGTCACGCCAGCAGAGGCGGCTGCCAAGGGACGGCAGG